AACCCCCCCCCCATCTCCAAAAGTTTCTCAGCGGATTTGAGCTGTACTCAGCAAGCGCAGTACAGCCCCATAGTCAGATTGAAAAAAAAATCAGTGGATGCCACTGGATGGCTGTTTACTGACTGGTAGGCAGACCGGTAGGCTGCAAAATGGTCAGCGGTCAGGGTAGGCGGTCGGCGGGTATGCAACCCTGCCTGGCACCTCAATTGTTCTGTATAGGCTTTATAAGGGATGCTGGGCCCTGTTCCCAGCACGTGCAGCTCCCCATGAATAGATTGGAGCCATTTCAGAAAAATAGAAGAAAAAAAATAAGGTTGTTACGTACATACTACACGGTACTATACACAACAAATTTGTCAAAGCAGAATGAACGACAGGAATACCAAGAGTTTTTTGTCGATTGAAAAGTTGAAGGGTCATTAGCTTATGGGTGATACGATTAAATCATTAAAAAGTAATAAAAACATATATGCAAGGAAGATGAGCAATAGCGAACTTCAGAAATCAAACAGCATCATACACATGAGACCAGATAGTCGTGACCTCGAACCAAAAGCAGAATTGCATCACGAGTTTCACCAAATAAGATCACACCAAAAGCTCATAATTGACAATGCTGGAATAGTCTCATCATCATCAACGAAGAACCAATGTTGATATCCTATCTGGCGCTCAGCGCCCAGACAATGAATGGCAGATCCTATCTAGCCTAGACTACAATGCCGCTGATGACGTCAACAGCTTCCCGAGTACGAGCAGATCTCGGCCAGTGCCGCACGCCTCAAGCGCCAGGTATGTCTCTCGTATCACTCACAACCTCGTTCCCCAACTCACAGATGCCACTTGCACCCAAGGACCACCATGCGCCCCATCCAGCATACAGCAGCGCAGCTCGGCTATGGCTGCCTGCTCCTTCCAGCTCGCCCGTGAGCGCATGAGCCTGGCCAGCGTTAGCGCAGCAGCGCTTGCGCAGCATGCAGCCAGTGCCTGAATGTCCAATGCGTAGGCAGACCCTTCTCTATATCGAAGTGGCCTGCTGCTGCGTGCAGTAATGCGGTACTGGGCGCTGGCCCAGAAGCTTCCGGTAGGCCCCACGAGGCTGAGCCTCAGTCCGAAGTAAGCAGGCCCAGGGCCTGTGGTGGTTACCAGCACCCAACTGCCCTCAGCCTTTGTTCGGTCCACTTTGTGTATCCGGCCCAGGGCCTGCCTCAGTTACATGCAATGAAAGGCAGCCTGGGCCTGAACGCTTCCAACCAACTGGCGCTGCGCAACTGCCTGAATTTCCCCAGTTGCGTGGTGACCCCAAAATGGCCTGTGGGCCTCGGTCGTGCCTTCACTTAGGGCGGCCAACTGTGTGAAAAATAGGCCCTGTAGGGCATATCGAGGCCCTGTGCCTCGCATATACAGCTTCGACAGAAAAAAAAAGCAGCAACCACAAATATTTTGAAAAGGTGATCTAATCTCATTTGTGGTTGCTGCTTTTTTTTCTCTATGAAGCTGACCACAAATGTTTCGAAAAGGTGATCTCAGTTGGTTGAGCACGTAAGTGGCACTGAGGAGGTCGTGGGTTCGACACCCAACGTCGTCCTTTCAATCCCCACGGCCTCCTGGGGGATGCTTCAGGTTCACCAACGGAGGTTGTTGGCTTGGGCCTCCTGGCTGATTGTGGAAGTGGTTCTTTCCAGCCCACGCCATGTTGCAGGAGCTTGGGTACTGCTCCCCGCACTGAGCAGAGATAGGTAGATGCAGACCCATGACCTTAGGATAGCTCAGTTCTGGTTCGTACATTTAAGGTGGTCTTGGACCCTAGCCCTAGAGCCTAGCCATAGTCTCAGCCCAGTACCAGTGGAATAGCTTGCTTCCCGTCACTAGATTAAGGTGGGGTTTCTGGTCGGATTACTCGACAAGGGTAGGCAGGTAGCTAAGGGTGAGCTAGATACAAGAAAAAAAAAACTCCGGAGTTCGAACATAGTAACTGTGACCACAACGGTTCCAAAAACATTTCGTTTTGCAAGAAACAGGCTCATCAAGTTGGGAGTCGTCCAAGTTCAAGGAGTGGGTTGAGGAAAACAGGGAGTGGATCAGAGAGAAGGCAAGAAGGGATGTGATAGAAGGCGAGAGAATTAAGAAGAGTTTCCCTGGAGTGCTCAACATAGCGGGGAGGGGATGAGAAGAGTAGGGTGGAGGTTGGAGCAAAACAAGTGGCCATAGGGCAAGAGAGCATGGGAAGAGACGTCCAGGAAAAGAAGTACGAGGTGGGAATGAGCTGGGGATGGAGAAACCGATTCAAACAGTGAACAAATCTTGCTCGACATGGTATAGGAAGCGGTCATCCTGGCAGACGGGATGGCGAGAAAAAAGGACAAAGAAGAAACATGGAGTGGAAAACCAAATAAGTTCAGTAAACTCAGGTTGTCATCTACTAAAGGTCGAAGTCCCAAACTATCCTCAAGGTAAAGAGAATCGAACGATCCTCAACTGTCGCAAATCAGGTCAACGGTTGAAGAAAGCAGAGTCTCAGGCACTGATACCACGCCTGATGTCTTTCAGAATTTCTAGCGCACAGTTCTGACTCTTATGAGCACGAAAAATGGTCAAACACGGTCCAAGCGGGCTAACTCAGTTGGTTGAGCACGTAAGTGGTATTCAGGAGGTTGTGGGTTCGATTCCCTACGTCGTCCATTTGATCCCCCACAGCCCCAGTGGAGATATTTGGCTTGGGCCTCCTGGCTGGTTGTGGAAGTTGGTTAGGCTTTCCAGCTCATGCTAGGTGTTAGGAGCCGGGGTACTGCTCCCCGCATAGAGAGAGCAGAATAGGCTGGGAAGGCTGGAAAAACTCAACCCATAATCTTGAGCATCCCTTGGGAAAACTGGACACATATGTAGGTAGGTAGGTAGGTAGAGTGAGGTATACGAGTAATGAATATAGATTAGTTTTATAAAAAAGAATAAAATATTTGTGCACCGCTGTCAACCCTATGCGGCCAGTAGGCCGACCCCCTTGGGGCATTCCCGTGACACAGTGCACTCACAGAGTACTATTTTCCAACCAGCAGGGGGGTTGGTAGTTTAAAGGGTGGAAACAACATAGAAGAGCTGTACAGGGGCAAAAGGAAGAGACCGGCGATACAGACAGATTGGGGAAGGGACTGAAACAATGGAGGGAGAGAAGCATGAAAGGTACAAGACGATCCATACCGTGAAGGGAACCGCACTCAGACCAAGAGCTGTCTCTCTCCATGAACCCCATCGCTCAGTGAAAATTGGCCACAGCCAGTGTTCAACATCCTGCCATGCAAGCTACATCCAAGGAGCCCCAACGTGGTGAGATTCGTGAGAATAGCAACTGCAGAAAATTGACATGGCAAACATTGTTGAAAGTGCTTTGAAACATACATCTGCTATGAGACCAACCATGCACCACACTTCCACACCATGCTCACACAAGATGACACGCGCACACCAAGAACACAAATGAGATGTAAATCGAAGATGGTATCCACCAATCAACTCGATTACATAGAAATGTCATTTTACAAAACGTGTGCCTATGGCCTCCAACAAGCTCTCAAGGGTAGGGTCGATCTCTCCCACTGCTCTCAACCTCCAAAGCCTCACCTCTCTGAATACCCCTCTTGAGTGTCTCTCTCTCTTCCTTACTCGCTCATCGACCCAGGATATGGCGCCCAGTCCCATTGACTACTTCCTACAAACAGCGCACTTCGGAGCATCGCAAGACAGCGCACAGCATAGTATCCCAAAATAGTGCAGCAGTGCTTCCGCATGGACTTGCAAGGACTCACAAGTGAATATGTGCTGAGACTTCAACAAACGGAAGTATAATGTGGTAGCTGATGCACTGTCAAGGAGAGTAGACTTCCTGGGTGCTCCGGTTACTGAGTTTGGGTTAGAAGGGCATAGACGTCAGCAGGTGGTAGATGCTTAGGAGAAAGAAAGACAGCATTCTTAAGGCGATCATCAGATGACTCACTGCGCAGGACAGAAAGGTTGTGATGAGCTCACGGTGGGTGTGATGTTCTGCGTAAGGATGGGAAAGAAAGAATCTGTGTGCCTAACAGCGAACCTCTAAGGAGCCTGCTTTGGAGAATGCTATGATGCAAAAGGCCATTTTGAGTTCAAGAAGACGTACGCTAATCTGTTGCAATGTTTTTTGTGGCCCGGCATGGAAAGGGATGCACACTTGTATGTTGGGAGTTATCACGTTTATCAAGGGGCAAGCCTTCTATGCAAGCTCCTGTCGGCTTAATGAAGCCGTTTCCTACTGGACCTGGTCTGTCTATGGCCATGGATTTTATGGGCACTCTTGCCACCAGCAGGAAAGGAAATAAGCAGATTTTTCAATTTTGTAATTGTTGACAGATTTTCTAAATTTGCGCGTCTCATACCATACCCCTGCGAGCAACAGCTAAGACACAATCAGTCGTACGACTCGTAACTGAATTCGTTAATCACTAGGTAAGGGACTTTGGATCGCCCAAGAGAATTGCAAGTGACAGAGATGTGCGGTTCGCCGTGTCCTGGACATCATGGAGAATGACCCTTACGGCCCATCTTACGTGATAGATGTCCAACCTCATCTCCTCACTTACCCTGCATTTCATGCTTCCAAACTCCAGCCTTCGTCTCGAAGTGGTAAGTGCCCTTCTTGGCAATCAATGCTGCCCCTGACCACGGACGGACAGGTCGGCATCGACCGAATTGTGGAACATAAAGTCCTCCCGGTGCCAAAGCCTCCAGGAAGGGGAAGACCCATGCTTGTGGCGCATCCTGTGCACGGGATCGCGACACATACAGTGCAGAGCGCACGCGCACGTGACGCGGCGCACGTGATGCGGCACATCACCGAAATAGGGGTCAGTAAAAAGATTCGGGAAGGGCAGGGTGTGATGACCAAACACGCCCCCTCCCTTCTAAAAATTCAGAGTCCAAACGAAGAAAAATTTGGGCCACGTTAAGCCTAAAAACTGCAAATGCTTATTCTATTTTCCAATCTCTTTTGCGAAGGACCCTTGCAGAAAACTGGCAAGAGCTCATCATGAAGCAGAGATGGTCGTTGAAGTGTGAGCAGAGCGTGGGCAGGCCAAAAATATGCTCTGGATTTGAATTCAGGTCTGTGGCAGTCATGGGTTACTAACTTCGCTAGGCCAGATCTCTGCACGCAATTCTCTTTTTTTTTGTTTTTCTTTCCGTAGGAATAGGTGGAGTGCCCCTAAATCTTGGTCCACTACTCACTACATCCACAAAAGACAAAACATATGGCGGCGTATGGTTCCATGTTCTAGCGGAATATTCATTCTAGTTTTGCACATTCAGTGAGAAGCTCTGAGAATCACGTGCAGAGCCCAACAGGGCCTGGCTAAATTAGCAACCCATAACTGCTTAAACATAGACCGGAATTCGAATTCACACTATATACTCATGGCCCGTTCTTGATTCTGTAAATATGGTGCCCACCCCTGCTTGGTGATAGGACCTTCGCTTACTTAGTGGAGGGACTCAGATTCCTTGCAGTGACCCTCCTTTTTACGTGAAAGAGGACCTTTGTCTGCTCTCTCTCTCTCTCTCTCTCTCTCTCTCTCTCTCTCTCTCTCTCTCTCTCTCTCTCTCTCTCTCTCTCTCTCTCTCTCTCTCTCNCTCTCTCTCTCTCTCTCTCTCTCTCTCTCTCTCTCTCTCTCTCTCTCTCTCTCTCTCTCTCTCTCTCTCTCTCTCTCTCTCTCGCTCTCTCTCGTCTATACAGAAAAGTGCGCGCATCATTTGCTCAGCGCTAATTTGCGCAAGGCGCACGGCGCACGCGCACCCCATGGCGCACCGCAGCAGTGCGCCGCAAGTATGGGAAGACCACTGAAACCACAGATGCGGTTGATAGTGGCTTTCAGGCATCACCTGGATACCAGTGGGGATCAGTGGTTCACAAGAGAAGAATTGATGAAGACTGCGCCCCAGGTGGTTCTGCCATACAAGAGGGCTCTAAAGGGAAGCCAATGGCAAGAGTACGGAGGTCCTGAGAGGGCGACTCGAACCCAAGCGGTTGTGAATCTGAGGCTCCAGGCCTTGGCAGGCCTCAGGGTCTGCTTAAAATGATCCACGCCGCCCTGAGTGAAGGCAAGCCGTAGGGAAATGCAGTTTGTTCTCAGAAAGGCCAGTAGGGGATTTCTGGGCATGAGAATAGGCACCAGCCTCTGTAGCCAACCAGTAGACCCAGCCTCCAGTTAGTTACAGAGGCCGGGACCACGCCTTCCATTCAAATCCCCATGGCCCCCTGCGGCGCGCTGCAGGTTCAGCAGCTGGGATAGTCAGGGGGCATAGTCCCTTCCCTTCATTGACAGGCGTTAGGTTCAACCCTGAGGAGATAGGCTCAACCCGTAACCCTTAGTGTACACAAGCTTCGATGCATAGATGTGGATTGCTGCACTTAAGGTTCAACCGGACTTAGATAGATGTAGGCACGGGGTTAGGTAGTGTGAGGGATATTTGAGAGAAGCACATAGCTTTAGGCAAAAAAAAAAAAAAAAAAGAACAGTTTGAAGTTTGAACTTTGAAGCACGGGCACCGAAAATAACAGGTCCAGCGTTTGAGCCCTGGCATGTTGCAATTTCTCAACCAGTTGCTAACAATCTCTTAGGCATTTCTTAACCAGCGATGGCAATGATGGCCTGGTCTTAATAACCTTCAGCATTGATTACCATGGAGGGCCAGCCTGGAAGACTTTCCCCAACCTGGTTTATTGCATTGTGAGCTACACAGTGTTCCCCATGTGTCCATGCTGCTAAGCGTTAAGTTCCCCGACCTCTCTCAACTATAGGCCCATGCATGGACCTGGAGTTTCAGCTCGCAATCCATCCACCAATAGATGTGGAAAATTGGATTTCAATGCCCCCATCAGTTGATCTAGGGTTTTGAATCAGATACTGTTCTGAGTGTAAGGACCTGCCAAACACGGACTGAGACACACAGCTGATTTCTGAGTTTTGCCAATGGAATGTATGCCTTGCTGAGTTTCCCACTTGATGCTGAGTTTTCTAAGTCCGTGTGTGTGCGTGCTTGCTGGTATGCATGCCTATCTGAGTGCTTGTCGGTTTGAGTGTGTGTGTGACCCGCAAGGGCACTTGTTCATCCGGAAGGCCCGAAGGGCCGGTACTTACCTGTGGCCGTGACATTGCGGGTTGCAGTGGGGAAAACACTCAAGTGGCGGGGAAAGAAGCCCGCGACACTTAGAGCAGCGGAAAAACACTAGCAAGTAGGCCGGTACCACACCAAGTAGAGGTAGATGTGCCGGGTACTCGAGACTGAGCAGAATAAGACAAAAGTTAACATTTTTAGAGACCCAGTAGATGTAGGCTAGGTCTAGGCGGGTACCAGTCCAACCAGCCTGAGTCAAGGGCCTGTACGGGCAATATCAGAGTGTGCAATGATGTTTCCCTCCGAACGGCAGGAGGTACCGGTTGCTTGGAGGCCGCATGGCCTTTAAGTCACCGCCCAAGAGGCAAGCAGGCCACTATATCAGGAGGAGCAAGGGGCTCCTCCTCATTCTTCGGTGTGCGAGTTTGGCGACACACTGCTTGGAGCACTGGCTGGAGCAGCGCTGGTTGGAGAAGCACTGCTAGGGAGAGAGAAGCGCCCAGCTCCCCACTGCGGCTATGGTGGAGGAGCACGGGCTGGAGGAGGAGGAAGACAAGGACTTGGAAGGGGGAGCGTCAGAGGTACTTACCTGGCTATGGTGGATGCCATCTTCATCACCTTAGTGGGCACTGCATCTGGAAGGCCCCGGTTGGGTTAGAGCTACACCAAGGAGCTTCGAGGCAGAGTCAGGCATGGCGGCCTCAGCGGGAGCAGCCCTAGCTGCTTTGAGTTGCCTTTTGCACATCAGGGCAATGCCCTAGCAGTCTGCGCATAGCCTCCACCTTCAGGAAGAGGAAGGAGAAGGGTGGTCATGGCTATGGTGGACCTCATGTTGTACCTGCAGTAGAAGAGGGATTCGGACATTGATTCTGGTTCAGCCATTCAACATTGTTGTTATTATTTATTGTTTGAATAAGACGGGAGGAGAAAAGGAGGAGGAGAGTGATTGGCGAGAAGAAGGGAATTATCATTGGTCTTTGCTGGTATACATCTTCTTCTCCTCTCTTTCTTTTTCTTCTTCTTCTTTCCTTCTCTCTCCTCTCAAGTTCATTCATTTCTTTTTGCAATTGGATTGTGCTTTCTCATGAATGTGTACTTCGAAATTCACCAGGATCATAACATTGGTATCAGAGCGGATTCTACGTGCTGGCAATAGTTGACTTTGTTGCCCTAAACCTAACCTAAGTGGTTGAGGGCAGCACTAAGGGTTAGGATTGGTCGTGAGGGAAGTGGGGCAGCGTGGCTAAGGGAATCTGCCCCCACCCAATTAGGTCGTGTTGGGTCGACACTGAACCTGACCAGGTTGTATAAGAGTAAGTTTGGGGTGGCGAGACATTTCGTGGAGGCTTCATGCGACAATTTGAGAGTGAGAGGCACTCACACCTGGAATCTGATTCAAGGGAGATACTTGGCGACTTTAGGGCTTCCCTCAAGTAGGCGAGCTTGAGGGAAAGCAGCCATTCTGCATCTATGGACTGCAAGTTGCTACTTTGTTCTTCAGCATCCGCGGGGGATCCGGCATTGCACTTGGGTGTTGGAGTCCGACCCTCCTAGGAGATAGGACACTAGTGTAAGGGTAGCGTTATAGGGGTCAGGAGGATCATATGAGAAGGGGGTGAGTTCTATTCATCTCGAAGCTCAGGAAACTCAGGTAAGTGTCATGCACCTACGGGATGCACATGTGTGTGTGCATGGTATTGATGTCAGGTTGGGGTTATTCTGGGTTTCCTTCCTACTCCTCTGCGGTCTTGACTGTGTGTTTGAGTGTGTGAACTACCTACTCACATGATGGATGGAGAAATGAAGTATCTCGCTGTGAATGCTGAGTCCTTCTACGGTGCTTTGTCTTTTCGTCTCTGAACGGCTACGTGGGACCGATAGGGACCCAATGGGACTGGGCCCAAACAAGAAGGGCCCCTTGGACCCAAATCTGTTAGACATTGGTTCATTCTCTTTCTGACTGGGATTCGGAGTTTATTCTTTTGGTTAGGACACCCGCTGCCAAGGGGATCTCGGCTGAGACGTTTCACATGTTTTTGTTGCAGCATCCGTGGCTTGACTTGCACCTTGTACACCACTCAATTCTCCATTGTTGCATATCGTCACGCGTGGTCTGACTTGCTGTACGTTCACGGAACTGGTCAAACTGGACTCGAGGGGATCTCGTATTTGGACTAATGAGGCTGAGTCGTTGGATGAGACCTCTCATTTAAATTTTCTTATTTTTTTTGCTGCTCTCTAGTCCAAATGTAATGCCGCTCCGGCTAGGAGTTCTACCTTCTCTTTCTTTGAGCTTTTCAGTTTGTTTCTTTTTCTGAGTTCATATTTCGATGCCCGTAGAGACTCGTGGATAAAAGGAAGAGAGAGAGAGAAGGGAGAGAGAGAGAGAGAAAGGAGAGAGAGAGCACCCATCTTGAGGGACTTGCTAAATCATTTTCTACTAGATGACCCGTTGCGGCTTCGCCCGCAAAAACAGAAAAGGAAAAAAAGCACAAAAGAAAGAAAAAGCATAAGGAACTCCCCTATCATATTCCGCCGAGCCTTTTTTTCCCTTTATCTTTGAGTGTTTTGTTTGGGGAGCCATTACCTTCGCAGCATCATTTTTGTTTTGTGATGTGCAAGAACTCGTCCACTTTTCTGAGAAAATC